GTAGTGATCCTCCTGTTTTCAGCCTTCCAAGTGCTGGGATTACGGGCGCACACCGCGCCCAGTCTCAGTCGCTGTCTCGGCACACCCCAGGGGCGGGGCGGGTAGGGGACACTAGGGATAGAACACGGATCCCTGCTTCTGCCTAAGCAGGCACTTTAATCTGCTGAGCTTATATTAGCTCAGCAGCGCTTGTATTAGCTTTCTTGTTGCTAAGACAAAACACCTGACACCTAGAACTTAAAGGAGCAAATGCTTATTTGGCTCACAGTGCCAGGGGGTTCAGTCCTTACATGGGCAGCTGTCTTCAAGACAAGGTGGGAGAGCAAGGCCGAGGAAAGCTGCTCAACTCATGGCAGCCAGGAAGCAGAGAGTGAGGGGAGGAGCCCAGGTCAAAAATGCATCCTTGCGGACTGTCCCCCAGTACCCGCCTCCGTCAGCCAGGCCCCACCTCCTGACAGCACTTTAGCTATTAGTGCACTGATCTGCTGGTGGGTCTAGCACGCCCATGATTCCCTCATCCTCCAAAAGTCCCACCTCTGAACACATGAGGTTTGGGGGGACATTCTAGATCTAAACCACAACAGAATTACAATTCACTAGAGAAACAGGGAATAGCATTTTGTGAATTCCAGATAGACAGAGGATTAAAAGGTCTGGGGGGACGGAGTTCAGTGGTACAGCAGTTTTAAACCCCAGCACCACAAAATAAATAATAAACAGACATGCCACATTGAGGGCACAGCCCTCCTAGAATGGCTACAATATGTAGGTCATGACACAGCCATCCTACAGTGAATGAATGAGGAAACAATATGGGCTTGAGTTCATTTTATGTCAGGACATCTATGGCTGTGTTTGTTTTTTAAGCACAAGAAGGTATTCCATGGGATGGTTATACCCTAATTTAATTGCTTCTGACTTGATGGATATATGTATGTATAAATATATCCTTCTACTTAAAAATTAAAAAACATGAAAATTAAACTTTGAAAGGTGTTTATCTCCGGAGAATGTAGTAAGAGTTGATGGAGATGCCTGATTGGGATTTTTAGGTTTGACTTTTGCGAATCAGTTTGGAAATGTTAAAAACAAGAACACATTCATACTTTAATCATGAAACTGAATCTTTAATTATAAGACTCAGAAATTCAGCCAAACCGAGATGTGAAACCAATAAACAGAAAATATCAAGCCCTACTTTACCCCTACTCCTCCACACACCCTGTTCCTGCTACCCTGAGTGGGCCGAGTGGAACCTGCCAGCCCTAGCCGCTCTCTTCACTTCCTGGAACTGCAGTAAGAAGCCTGTAACAGCTACTTTAAAAATAGCATCTTCACAGTTATAGTGAGTCAGGCAGGCCCTAGGAAACAGGATCCTTGGGGAAGAACCTGGGAAGTGAGATGCCACACGCCAGAATAGGATAATAATGATTCTGTTTCTCAGCCTCATGGATTGTATCCCTTGCTTTTCTGTGATCGTGGGTATTTTTTTTCCTGGAGACATGATGTCAGAAGTGTGGGAGATTATCACATTCCTGTACAGTTAACTCTATTGTGGATTATCTACTTTTTGGATTACTCCTAGCACCTTCTAAATCCCAGAGGGAGTTCCCAACTATTAAGCATTCTTCTGAGTCATCTATCCTCGTTGAGTTGGTAGGAGTTCAAGGAATGCAAATTCATTTTCTATTAGCTTAAGCAAACACAATTACAAAGGTAAATCCCTTAAGGCAAGAACGTCTATCAAAGCCAAATATAAATTACCTTTGGCCATTGTAATCAGGGAAATAAATGAGGAACCGATGTAATTATCTTTTTAATCTCTGGAGGAAAACATTTTAATGTTTTCTTTTATAGAGTTCTTCAGTACACATTTTATAATCCTAATGTTCTTTTATATCCATTATCAGTCACTCATTCTGCAATCTGAGTCCCTGCTGTTAGTGGACAGCTAGGGGAGTAGACAGCTAATCTCGGTTATTCTCTTGACGGTATGATGCTTTTTACTTTAATTTTGCATATTATCTTCTTTTACCTTGATTTAGCCCACTTACATGTTATTTTTTAATATCATTATGCCACTGTATAATAGTGGCTGTTCTTTCTGCAATGACTCATTGTAGACTCATTAGGAAATGTCACACACACACACACACACACACACACACACACACACAGAGAGAGTACTTGATCCTCAGAACAGCCCTACATGGCAGATATAATTATTCTTATGTATGAATGAGAAAGGGTAGGATGAAATACTTGTAGTGAATATTAGAAATAGAAAACTGAAAATGAGATATCCAGTATTCACTCCTTTCAGTCAATCCAAAGTGCAGAAACTGTAAAACAACATTATTTAGGGCCCTGAACATAGTTCAGGAGACACAGACTCAGACAGCTCCAAATCAATGTTCTGAAAAGTTAGAGAGTTTATATACGCAAAAAAAACCCTCTTAAGCCATTACAAGGTAATTAAAAGTGTTTCAAGAGCATTCTTGAAACACTCTTTCTTATTGAAGCTGACAAGAATCCAAGGGCTGGAGGGGCACCTCCCAACGTGGCATTTGTAGCCCATGTCTTATGCCCAAATAAAAGTAAATTCACACACACACACACACACACACACACACACGCACTCACGGAAGCTGCATGAAAAATTACTTCACAGGGGCTCTATGATGATAGAAGACAAAGAATGAAAGAGCCAAATGGAGATGACCATAAAGGAAGGGACCGAGAGCCTCTGAATGTGCAACTAGAGTCTGGGGGCCTTGAGTCCAGCAGTCAAAGAGTGGGGGTGACCACAGCGCCCATTCCTAGGCAGCGGCTGCAGACCTGTCCCATCAAGGGCCCCCTGGTGCCATTTTGAAAAGCTCTTCCATGTTTTCTATTAGTGGTGCTCTGGGGTTTTTGTTGGTGGGGTGTGTGTGTGTGTGTGTGTGTGTGTGTGTCTGTGTGTGTTGACAGTGGGGAACAAACCCAGGGCCTCACACATTCTAGGCATCAATGTTGCTTTTCATCATGATTTTCCTTTCATTTTCGCAGGCGTAAGCCCCCATCACTCATTCCCAAGCACACCATCCTGCCATGCTGTATTCGGTCATATTGCTATATTTTAGTTTGTTTAGCTGACATCTTCCTTAGGCATTTTGAGTTGCCTCTAGTTTCTTACAGTGATACTAATTATCTCATAAAATTTTTTTTGTAAACATCACCAGCTGTGGTCTCCATGTAGCTCAGTCTCTACAGACTCACTAAAACTGCCCAAAAGTAATTTTTAGGGGCTGGTGAGATGGCTCAGTGGTCTAAAGCACCTATTTAGAACAAGCTTAGCAAAACACAGGGACCGCGGTTCAATCCCCCAGCACCACATGCCGGCCAGCCCCGCCCCCTGGTGGGCTGAGCTGGCCACACACACACACAAAATAAATAAATAAATAAATAAATAAATAAATAAATAAATAAGTAATTTTTAAAGACTAATTCCAATATTCATTTTGCTTCTCAAAGAAAAATCACAGGGGTCCAGTTCAGAACTCAGAACAGCACTCCTCAAGTCTCCGCCCGTCCCCAGTTCTCTTGCATCACTTCCTATTGAGACAATGTCACGATTGCTGTGAGCCCAGCAATTCTCGTCGGGCCAGAGCCGCAGAGCTCAGATTCCAGCTCCACAAACCTCCCATTTCGGCGTCTTAGGCTTGATCCTTTCCTCTGCCCCGGCCTGAATGCTCTGGTATCTCTCTACTCATGAGAGTCCATCCCAAAAGAACTGAGAAAGAAGCCCCCCTTGTGGGAGTTGGAGGTATGAGTTGTACAGAAATCAGGGTGCACACCCACGAACGGGTTTGATTCCTGGGGTATTTGAAGTGACTGTTTTTGTTTTTTTTTAACCCTTGAATTATAGTCTCCACTGTGAGATTCATTGGTCACTGAATAGATTCATGGTAGAGAATAGATTTAGTGAAGAAATATTCCTACTAAAATGGTTAGGATAGATATATAGTTACATTCTCTTAATGAATAGAAGGTTTTGTTCTAATAGTGTTTGTAAATAGGATATCATGTCTGCATCTTGTACAGCAAATAACCACTAGGAAGAGAGTATGCAATATGTTAACTATTGAAACTGTCCTACCAATTTGATTTGAAACTGTCTCATTGCTATTTGTTTCTCAATAAAATTATAGAGAAAAAAAGAAATATTTCTACTAATTATAAAAACACAGGGGCTGGAGAGATGGCTCAGTGGTCTAAGGCACCTACTTGGAACAAGCTTGGCAAAGCATCAGGGACCGCGGTTCAATCCCCCAGCACCACATGCCAGCCAGTCCCGCCCCCTGGTGGGCTGAGCTGGCCACACACACACACCACACTCTCTCTCTCTCTCTCTCTCTGTCTCTCTCTCTGTCTCTCTCTCTCTGTCTCTCAAATAAATAAAATAAAATTAAATTAAAAAAAAACATTATATAACTATAATGAAGCTGACTTCTCAAACTACTTAAACTGAGCTGGATGTGGTAGTGCATTCTGGTAATCCAAAACTTGGGAGGCTGAGGCAGGAGGATCACAGTCTGGGTTACATAGTGATTCCAAGTCAGCCTGAGCTACATAGCAAGACCCTCTCTTAAAAACAAAGAGCTGGGGAGATGGCTCAGGGGCACATGTGCCTGCCTGGCAAGCCCAATGTCCTGAGTTCAATCCCTAGTAGAAAGAGAGAGAGAGAGAGAGAGAGAGAGAGAGAGAGAGAGAGAGAGGAAGAAGAAGGAGGAGGAGGAGGAGGAGGAGGAGGAAGGAAGGAAGGAAAGCAGGAAGGCAGGGCTGAGGATATAGCTCAGTGGGATAAGCACCTTCCTGGTCTTGAGTTTGATTCCTGGTACCCAAAACAAAACAAAAGAAAGAAAGAATGCAGGAAAGAAAGGATTAAACTACATCCCTACAAGGACTCTCTGCTGTCAGACTGCATCCAAAGCGCTTTATGTCTTGCTTTGTTTTTCCAGTTTGACAAGTGGACAGACTCTCAAAGGAGGAGAATCCTCGCTGGCCTGCTGGAGCGCTGCTCACTGTCCCAGCAGAAGTTCTGCTGTCGGAAGCTTCAGGAAAAGATCCCACCAGAAGCCCTGGATTTTACTACCACACTTCCCAGGGTGTTGTCTGTGTACATCTTTTCCTTCCTGGACCCCCGAAGCCTTTGTCGCTGTGCCCAGGTGAGCACTTAGCAGCAGCATGTGGTATTCTGTAGGCACAGCCTCAGGAAACTCTGAAAATCCAGTAACTTGAGGGTGAAACTCACTTATAGACATAGGAAGAGCAGGCACTAGGTGTTGCGTCTGGAGAGGCTGAATGATCCTCCACGCCACCGTAGCTCACCCGGTGGAGCATTCAAAGGGAGAGAAAGCCTAGGACACCATGGTGTCCACGGAAGAGCATTGGCTAGTGGGGAGGTGCATGCACCTGTTAGTGGCTGGGCTGCTCAGACTGCAAATTCTCCTGCCTCAGCCTCCCAGAGTCCTGGGATTGTGTGTGTGCACCATCCTGCCCGGCTGAGTCTTCTCCTAGAGTTTAGTCAAGCCAGATATTACCTGCTACTTACACTCACAGTCCTATGATGTGTTGTTTTGGGTTCTTAAGATTAAGAAAATAAATGCAGTCAGAAGCAAACGGCTTTGGGATCTGTGGGCTGATGCATAGGAAACAAATGCCAATACAGAGAAGATTTATATCACCCCAAAGGAAGCCATCCAAGCATTCAAAAATAAAATTAAAAAAACCCCACAGGGCAGGATGCTTTTTATGAGTATTTTACAATATCCAGAAGCCTAAAAGAATGTGCAATTTCTAGCCTTGCTTTATTCATTTTCCATGTCGTGAACAGGAATGAAAGCAGCAAGAATTTAAATTGTGACTATAAAAATAAAGATATTCTGCATTTAAAAAAAAAAAAACACCATGAATCAACCAGTGGGCAGGGAAAATACGTATTGCAACCAAAGGGCTATCTCCTTATTTTACACAATAATTCCTATAAATATATATGAAGAAGAGAGAAAATACTTCACCCATCAAGAGGAAAGAAAGTGAACGAGTAGCTCCCACACAAACACACACACACACAAAATGCAGTGGTCGCTGCCCTACGTGGGATGGTTGGCTTTCTGACTGCTGTCTCTCATCCATCAGGTTGGCTTTCTGTTAGTGCTAATGTTTTGCCTTGGTGAGAGCCGGAGGAGACAACAACTTTCATGCACCACTAGTAGGCCAACTGGTGCAACCACCGTGCGGAGCAACTGCGGAGTGGTACATTTTCCAGTAAGAATTCCTTTGGGGCTGGACTGAGGTTATAGCTCGCTGGCACAGTGCCTGCCTGCAAGCAGAATCCCCAGTTCACTTCCTAGTACCAAAAAATAACAATTCCTTCTAGCACAGCCCTTTCACTGCCTGGCGGCTCTCGGTCAGATGGGTAAACTTCAAGATGTGTTAAAATTACCTCTCTATAAGAATATTGCAGCTCTGTTTGTCATAGCAGAAGGCAGCAAACAACAGAAAGGTCACCAGTTGGGACAGCATAAATGAACTGCAATGATCACCCAATATGGTAGAAAAAAAGCAAAGCTGCAGAATAGGAACATTCTGCTATTATGGAAAGAAAAAATAAGATATGCATTTGCTAATACTTGCTTATCATGCTTTTGGACTGACCTATAAGCAGCAGGCAATGGCAGTTGCACCCAGAGACACAGATGAGTGGCTGGAGGATAAGGTGGAGGAGAGGCTGATATTTTACCATATGTCCCTTTGTCTCTCTGACTTTTACTTTATACATATTATCTGTTCTAAAAATGACATAAATATTTAAAAGAACATAATGATCTAAGTGTCAGTAATGGGGCATCATACAGCTACATGATGAATTATTATGCAATCATTAGAAATATTGTGGGGGCCTGCGAGATAGCTCAGTGGATT